TCTTCTGCCCCCCGCCGTTGTTATTACCGCCGCCCAGCCGGCCCAACGAGTGCCGTCGGCCCGCTGCCGCCGCTTCGACGGGGCCCTTGCAGCCCGCGCGTGACGAGGGCGAAGTTGTGCGTCCGCAAAGTCGTCGCGTTAGTTCCGCCTTCCCCGTCTCCCAGCCGCCCCGCAGCCGCCTGCGAAACCGAAACCCCGCGCGCCCGTCGGTGGGGACGGGAGCCGCGCGCGGCCCGTCGCCTCCTCCCGGACTGCGCCACGAGCGCGCCTCCCCCTCAGCGGCCTCCGCTTCTTCGCCGTGCCCCCGCAGCGAAAAGGCGGCAAAAGGGGGCGGCGAAGGGGGTCTGTGGCGCCTCACCCGCCCCCCGCACAGTTCACACGCTGCGCGACGGCGGCCCACGGGGCGTGAACGGGCAGCCGCCAGGAGGCTCGAGAAGAGGCCCACAGCCACACGCACACGCACACGCCCCGCACCCAGCGCACCTCCAAAACGCAAGAAATGACGAGCTCATCGCGGCCAGCGCAAAAACACCCAACGCGGGCAACGCGCCCCCCCCACGCCACTGGCAGAACGCGGCGTAGGCCAGCAGAGGGCGGGCCCTTCACGCGCAAAGGGCGCAATGGCCACAACGTGGGGAGGCCACACACACACCCCGCCTGTCCTCTCCCGCCGCAGCGGAGGAGAAAACAAAAAAAGTGTCGTCTTCGCGGGCCACCGCTGCCTCTAGCGGGGAAGAGGAGGAATGAGGGGGAAATGGAGGCGTGTCGGCGGCGCAGCCGGCAGCGGCGGAAGGAAACACAGCGCCGAGACGCGCAGCGGCAGACACGGCGCACGGACTCAAAGTGAGCCGCGGTGAGTTGCCCCACGAAACAAAAACAAACAAACAAAATTAAAGCATTTAAAAAGAGGTTTACGTCCAGCAGGAGGCCCGGGAAACAAAACAAAAATGATAAAACAAAATTACTTCGGCGGGTTTTTTTCTTCTCCCCTCACGTGCCCAAAAGCACAAGAGGACTGTGAGCGTGAGCGCGTGTATATTTATGTTACCTGCAAGAAAAAAAGCAAAAAAAAAACAAAGAAGAAAACATCGCTCTGTTGCATCAGCCCACACTTCCTTCTCACATTTCATGCGGCGTTCGGCCTGCGCTTCAATCGGGCAGTTGCGTCAAATCCGTGCGGGGCGCACAGCAATGCGGCCGGCACCGCGCGTGTGGGGAACAGCAAAAAACAACAACAGACGAACAGGAGAGTGAACTCGTTACTCATGGCGGTGCTTACAGCGAGCGAGCAGTAGAGCAATAAAAAAGAAGAGGAGCGGAGGTGCCGATTACTCCGGCAAAGCACAAATGAGAAGGAAAAAATTGAAGCGAAAAGAGAATAAAAATGGGGGACCTCGAAAAACCCAAATGAATGTCGATGGACAACCGCACCGCACACTTTTCACGAGACTTCGCAAATGTAATTCCCCCCCCCCATGAATCAGAGAGCCGTCGTGCCCCACACCCCAAGCATGGCAAGCAGCAAAAGCCGAGACACGCACCCACGCAGAGCGTCGTCGCTGCCTGTGCTCAGCTGGAACGGCCCTGTGATGTTCTTGAAGGCAGCGGAGCCGTTGCCGGGTAGTAGTGCCGTGGCGGCGTTGCTGGAAGCCTCGTGGCCGCCGTCCGCGTCCGCCGCAGTTTGGGGGTCTGCGCCAAGTTCTCTTTCTGCAACGTTTGGCGTCTCGCTGGTGGGCGCGGCGGAAGCAGACGGCACGCCACCAACGCTCTCTGGCGCATGCGACGGAGGGGTCTGCTGCGCCTGGCCGTCATCCTTGCGCCCATTCTGCACAGGCGCGTCACCCACCGGGCCCGCCGTGGCTGCGCCGTCTGCGGGAGGCGAAGGGCCCCGCTGCTGCTCAGAGGGCTCAGCACCGAAGACCTGTTCAGTCCCAGTTCTCTCGCGTCCAGTGCCCGCACTCGGCTCTGGAGACGATGACGGCGCCGATTCACCACTGCCACTCGCCGCCTCGTGCGCATCCACCTCCTCTTTGGCCT